GGGGAGTGGGGCAGGGGTGCTGGACGGGGCGGGAGCTCGGAGCTATCCCAGTGACAGCTGCGGTGTCTGCACTGGTCCTGCTGGTGACGCAGGGCAGGAGGCCGGGAATCCTCCATCCAGGCGTGTCTAACACAAACAGGAGCAGGCCGTGGGCCTACTGCGGGCTGGGCAGCAAGTGCTGAGGAGGCCAGAGGCCTGGGCTGGGCATGGCAAGGCAGCAGGGTGCATCCAGCCAAGCCAGCCCCTCTCACTCCTCGTCTCCCCCATGCGCCCGCTGGCAGGGATTGGGGCAGCCCCGCACCCCTCCTGCACTGCCAGGGCTCAGCCGCCATCAGAGGCCAGGACAGTGTCTGCAGCCCCAGCCCTGCCCAGGGAGCGGGGACACCTCACACACAGCCCTTTGCCCCAGCTGCTAAAGGCCCAGCTCAGGCCCTGGCAGCAGCAGGAGAGGTGCCTGGGAGCCGGCCACGGGCGCTGCCTTGCTCCTCTGACTGCTGGGAGCAAGCGGCTGGGACCTGCGCATGGCTCCCGCAAACCCCGAACAGGTTCCCCCGATCCCCAGAGCCCCCCTGCCGTGTGTATGGGGAGCTTCCGAATCCACATCGAGGGGAGGCATGGGGGGACATTTGCCATGGGGCCGGGGCTCCCAGCCCAAACCCCAGGTCCAGTAAGACGAAGCGCAGGCAGCATGTGGTCCGGAGGGGGGAGTCCAGAGAACAGAGGGACGGTCCTGTGTAAAGAGGCCTTTCATTCAGGAGGCAGAGAGAGGCATCCCTCACCCAGCACTGATATGCAGCCACCTCTGGATTGGGACGCAGCAGCTGCTCTGCAACAACCCCAGAGGTTAGGACCAGAAGTGCTGAAGGATCCTGCATCCTGCAAAGCTTGGGGGAGGCACGATGGATTCTCTGGAAACAGAATCTGGCGAGGACACGAGGGAGAGAGCTCGGGGATCACAAGTAGCCTGAGCCACCATGCCAATCCCTGTACACTGCGCTGGCTGCCAGGGGAGAGCACCCTCACTGCACCTCACCCCACTGCCTGCAGCACGGGGCAGCCCCAGGGGCTTTCCCCTCCAGTGACTGACCCCCAGCGGCCCTGCTCTGCTCCTCGTTCGCCCAGCCCACCTAGCTGGCATGTACAATGCCCCCTGCCGGCTCACCTGCCACCTCCACGGTCGTCACCATTCGGTCACCAACAGCGTCACAAACGTAGGAGCCAGAGTCGCTGGGCCGGGCCCCGAGGATGGTCAGCTGCCTGAGAGCTCCCCGGTCCTCGATCCGGACTCGTTCGCTGGCCACCAGCTCCTGGCCATCCCTGAGCCAGCGGACGGCAGCGCTGGGCCGTGACACCTCGCAGGCCACCACCAAGTCATCGCCGGCCGCCAGGCACTGCTGCTCCCGCCCCCCCTTGCTCCTCACAATGCACACAGGGGGCTCTGGGGAGTCAGAGAGAGGCAGCGTCACTGCATGGGGCAGAGGCCAGGCTCGGGGTCAGGCGCGCCTTACACCCCACAGAGAATGGCGTGCAGCAGCCAGAGCGACCCACTGCATGCATGCTGGACAGGCTGGCACATTGACTGTGTGCCAGACAGCCTGACAGACAGCACTGCCTGTACCGACAGACGTACCAGCTGTGCTCCGGAGGGGCCGACTGACACAGACAGGCAGACTGTAC